ACAACCAATTTTCGATACAAAATTTCAACAAGAACGAGCGAAAGTGACTCTTTCTCTATCTATATGTACTAGAATGTCATGTAAATTAAACATAATTGGAAAATATTTGTAAAGAGTATTTATAAATAGTCAGAAAATGATTAACTAGTAAGCAGTACTTATAAATTCTTCAAAATTTGTAAAAAAAAAATTACTTTAGTATTTATATATAATTTATAAACATGAACCAAACATAAACTACTGATATAATACTTAAATACGTTGAAAACCTAGAACCTCATTTCTAAAAGGTGAGGAGCACAACCCTAATTTTTGGACAAAGTTTAAATTATTTTCAATTGATCAAACATAATTTTTATTCATACATTTCATAAAATCTACACCTCCTTTTACATTTATCATTTACTAATTTTCACATTCAATAAAATGCACCGCTTTACAAATACTAAATGTAATACAAAACAAGAACTTAGAAATCTAAGAGAAATTTGTATTTATATTTATACTTTTAGATAAATAGATACATGCATAAACAAGTCCAAGAACACAACCAATTTAGGGGTGGGAATGGGTTGGGTTGGGTCGATTTTTGCCTCAACCTAAACTCAATTCAACATGATTGGTTTGATTATAATTTAACACAACTCAACCCGTGTAAAGCTTGAAACCCAACCCAACCAAGTATCGGTCAGGTCGGGTTGGGTTGGGTTGGTTGATTTGGAACAATTTGTCAACAAATATTAAAGTAGATGAGTCGAGTTGGGCGGATTTATAATTGACTAATGATTTATATAATATAAGGTCTCTATAGTTGCAATGAATAAAAAAATCTGAATTATTTTGGCACTTCATGCCCGAAAATGTTACATGGACAGATTGATATTAAATTATATGAAACGAAGAAATATTTTTGGCAATTAAAATATTTTTGTGTTGAATGTGTATTTGCTTATACCATTTTTTATAAAATGCATTCTATCAAAATATTATAGTATTATTTTAAGAGTTTTCATGTCTTTTGTCATATTCAAGACTTCTCGTGTATCGCGTTTGTGTATATAAAACATAGTTAATTAGTAGTATATAATTTGTGTATGGTTTCCTCAAACTTTTCAACTATTGCACAAAATTTCCCCAACAAGAACTAACATTTTAATCTAGGTTCTGCTGAATATTGTAGCTCTTGGAAGTTGTGTGAAGAAACAAAGTGACTCAATTTCATCCAAGCAACATCATATCACTTGTAAAGTTCATAAATATAGTCGGGTCAGGTTGGGTTGGATGGGTTTCTTCTGTTTTCATGAGTTAACTCATAATCCGACCCAACTCACCTACATAACCAACCAACCCAACTTGTGTAAAAACAACAAAAACCCAAAGCGGGTTAGTTCGGTTTGGGCGATTTTGACAGGTTCGGTCGAGTTTTGCCCACCCCTACATATCATATGACGATTTCTTTCTAGTGTACTAGCATTATATTAAAAGACGAGAGAAATTTAAAGTTCTATTTATTGAACTTCTCAATCCTATCAAACATCGCATAATGAAAATGCCCCGAATGCAACTAAAGTATACTTCAAGAGGCACTCCAAAAATAAAATATTTTATATTTTAGAAAATCAATGTTTAAAAATAGGAGATTAATAGCAGAAAATTCCCCTAAAAATATTTTCATTTGCGATATACCCCTACATATTGAAAATGGCAGAAACCCCCACTATTTGAAACGTTTTGTGCGAAGAACTCTCTATTGTCAAATTTGCCATTTAAAATAGTAAAAATGTTAAAATTAAAAAATAATAATTTTGGTATCCAACTTTTTATTCTTTTACAAATTATATTCAAATATTTTTATGTACCACCCACAATTCCAAACTTTTAAAACTGTATTTTCCACCCCACCCCACCCCACTTCATCTTTTTCCCCAAAACTTTATTATTTTAGGTAATCTCTTCCAAAACCCTTGTAAATCCATCACTTCAAATTCATCATTTCTTCTTCTTATTCCCAATATAGGTCCTCACACACACGCAACGATTCTTCACACAAAGAACGATGGACAGTTGAATTCATCGAAGGCAAAAAATTGCAATTCGCCTTAAGAGCTGCCACGGCTGCTACCTCACAGCGGTGGACGAGCCATTTCTTCTTGGCATGATCGGAAATAGGTTCTGCAAGCTATTTTGGCAACAAAAATGCACACTTCAATTGAATGTGGGCATCTAAAATAAGGGAATTATGTGAAACTAATGATGAGGGAAGGGAAATTCTTGAGGGCTAATGGGGAACGCCGCTAAGGAGGAATTCAATAATTCATGATATCCCTCGTAGAACTGCAACTCAAAACTGAGATCTGTAGGAAGTGGATATTGTGGATATTTCTAATCTTGGGAATGAGAAGTAGAAATGAGGAATTTGGGATGAGGGATTTAGGAGGGTTTTGAAAGGGATTAAATAAAATAATAAAGTTTTGGAAAAGAAGATGAAGTGAGATGGGATGTAAAATAAAGTTTTAAAGGTTTGGAATTGTTGGTGGTACATTTAAAAACAATGGATATAATTTGTAAAAGAATAAAAAGTTTGAATACTAAAATTGCAATTATTACTTTTTAATTTTGAAATTTTTATTGTTTTTAATGAAAAATTTGAAGATATGAGGATTTTTCACACAAAAGGTTTCAAATAATAAAGTTTTGGAGAAGAAGATGAAGTGGAGTGGGATGTAAAATAAAGTTTTAAAGGTTTGGAATTGTTGGTGATACATTTTTTTTTTTTTAGAAATGGATATAATTTGTAAAAGAATAAAAAGTTTGAATACTAAAATTGCAATTATTACTTTTTAATTTTGAAATTTTTATTGTTTTTAATGGAAAATTTGACGATATGAGAATTTTTCACACAAAAGGTTTCAAATATGGGGTTTTCTACGATTTCCAATAGATATGGAGATATATTGCAAATGGAAACGTTTCTAGTTGATTTTCTACTATTAATCCAAAAAGCTATAGGAGATTGTCTATTTTAACTTTTAAAAATAAAGAATGAGTTTAGCTTTTCAAATTTGGAGAGTCGCTCAATCTCTAATCTTAATTAACAATAACTGCATTTAATAAATTATAAATTTCAATACTTTACAATTTATATTATTCAAATTACATTTGAATAGATTGGTTATTAATGTATAAAAAATTATGTTAAATAAGATATAAGGAGAAATTAATAAATGTNAAAATAGTAATTTTATAATTTAATATAAAATAAATAAATAAAAGGAAGAAAAAATCAAATGGCTCTATATCTATTTCTTCTCTCCTTCATCAACTCCGTAGTGCACGGAGATTAGGCCTTGGCCTCCAACAGAATCACTGAATTCTGTTTAAACCGTGCTGCTCCATTGGGAAAATTGTCATAAAAATTCGAGGACCTCTATTTTTTGTTTCTGGGAATACCAATAATAGATGCGGAGAGCCTTTTATTATTTTTTATTTAATTTATATTAAAATTATAAAGTTATTATTTTGATATTTGGTCAAATTCTACTTTTTTGGTCAATTAACGGTCTTTGGACTCCAAATGAGAATTTTTGGAAGGTTCGATATCATGGATGACACAAATAAAAGATTTGGGTCAAGTCTTTAATAAAATGAAAGATTTGTATTGTGACTGCCATTTTTTCTAAAAAAATTCTCTTTAAATTAAAAATACTCTTTATTATGCATAAAATGTTCCTTTTAAATAATATTTATCAAGTCCATTTTGTACGATACATGAGCCCATTTTAATTAATTTTTATAACTTCTGTTTATTTTCAATTTTTAGCTTAATATTTTAATAAAGAACAATTCAAACAAAATTTCTTCCTGAATCACCATTCATAGACAATAGTAATGAAGACTCAAACAACAAATCAAATCATCGACAAGAATTTAGCTTTAGGAGGTTGAAAACTAGGAAGGAATCAACTAGCTGTATATTTCTTCCTCAATTCTGCCTTCATTTACGCATCTAATTTCTCCGGGTGTAGCCGAAATCACTTGTTTCAACTAGGGAAAGTTCTAGGCAAGCTACTAGAACGGAACCACCCAACACCTAGTTCAATTCGTTTTTAAGTTAAATATCTAATTTGATCAAAGAAAACAAAAAAACCTCAAATTGGAGAAAGTGAATGAGAAAAGACTGACGAAAAACAAAGAGGTTTAAATGCTCAAAAAGAATCCAAATTTGAGCTTTCTTGATTAATAGCTAGAAAAGTTGAGATGTAGCTACTTTTGGCTTCTTTTCTAGCATTTGCACCTCGCCAAACATGCCGTAAGTTTTGTTCAACATAGGTTTAAGATCAATAACATAACTCCTTTTTTCACTCCTTCCACAAAATTGCTAGATGTACTAGAAAAACCAAAATAAAAAATGACATTTAAAGACAAAAAACCCCATTGGCAAGTTGTTTATATGTGGTTCTATGTAATCCAATTAAGGGAAATAAGTTATAAATTCCTACATAAAATGTTCACATATACAACAAAGTAAATGGATTTTCAAACGAATGCTAGGGCTTGTTCTACGACATTTCAAAATGGATCCTGGGGACTGAATAGCCCCAAATCCAAGAATAATAATCTAACTACACGAATATATATTTTTCAATATTTTACAGTGATTAAACATCACAAACCCGAAAAAAAAAAAAAAAAACCCAGAATATTGAAAAGGTCAAAAAGTAGAAATATATTGAACACATAATACAAGGAACGGTTTAGACAGGAACTACCGATCCCAAATGCTTGCATGCAAGAATAAAATTCCAAACCTCTGGTGCTAACACAAATTATGTCCCACTCACTTTTTATCAGACCCTTTGAGGTTGAAATTGAACCATTTCTTCTTTGCAGATTTGTCCTTAGAATCGGAACTGCCTTCTTCTCCCGGACTGTCAGACTTGTACTCTTCACCAGGAATTTTGCTGCTATTTCCGTTGCTAAAATGTCCACTCTCGCTAGTATTACCCACCGACCTTACAACAGTAAAAGACGAGTGGATGCTATCTCGCTGTTTTAGCATTTCATCAACCTGTTCATGAACATGACCAAAGGCAAATATTTACCAACCAAAAAAGCAGGATCAGGAATAACAAGATGTATTAAGCGAGAAGAATACAGTTACAAACTGCATAATGTGCTGGAAATACATGATACGTCTATATATAATGGTTCAGCTAATGAAATTATGAATATTATTATACTCTGAAAAGAGACTCCTATTGGCTATTAACATTACAAACTACAAAATCACAGTTAGTGAACTCTAAAACACAGATGCCCACTATGTGACTTTATAACTTTCTTAACATAAGATAAATTGGTGTAAACAAGAGGCTAATCAGCAAAGACAATGTCAAGAGCAAAGTTCTATTTCTCAAAATGACTAGTAGAAAACAAGATCAGTTATTTCTTCTATTCTTAAACATTGTAATAATATTTCTCAAGATAAATATCTATGTATGGGTTTGAGGGAGAATGAGTTTAAGAGGGACAGAAATTAGAATCAAACTAATACATTCTGAAGATAAAAACATTTAACCATAAAGAATTCCCAGGGAGCAAACTTACAGATTGCTTTTCCTGGCTGTATCTGTTAGTGACTTCTTGGAAGCGTGCCAATGCCTTCAAAATAGAAGGGGAAGACTGTAAAATTATATCCACAAACATCAACTACAACACATCATTGGCAAACATAAGTGGAAAAGTTGGGAACCTTTCTATATTCTGTTTCGAATTGGCGTAGCTCATTTCTCTTCCTCAAAATCTCAGCCTCAATATCCTTAAGTTTTTCAGATGAATCCTCATAGGACTTTGCAGAGAGAGCCTCAATTGTATAGGTAGCAGGTTTGAAGAAATTATCTCCTGCACAAATCAGGCCAAATGCAAGTATTTAAGAGATGCTTTCTTGATCATCGCCTCTAATATTCATCAAATTATAAGATGTATCAAAAGAAAATTCAGACCATAAACAGCAAATATGTGGGTGCCAGCCTTTAGTTCTGAGACCTCACAAGGTTGAAGGCCTTCCAATCTCTTGAAGAAAGAAGCTTCCGGATCCTTAGCCATGGCCAACTGCATCAAACAAATAAGGGAATTTATCAGCAAAAGTGACCCTGTAAGCCTCTTCACTAAAAGGAATATGTAATTTGGAAATTGGACATACCGCATTTATAGTTGAATCCATTCTGTATACTTGGAAATGCAAGAAATACATTCCGGCCGATGTAACCTTGTCTGTCTTCTCACTGTCTTCCTGTATTTATTAATTCCATTAGAAGCCACAAAATTTGGCAAGTTGATCAATTCTCACTGTATTCTCCGCATGTTGCATAATTAATGTTATCAGTCACACAGGTACACAGTAAAGACCAGGTAACATTGTAACTCTGTAAGTTTCAGAAAAGCTTTTTGTTTTATATGTTTAAGAAGACATACTCAATATGCTGGGGTACAACTTAAACATCAAAAGATGCATAACTTCTCGAACTGATTTGGTTCAGATTGGTTCCAAATGTACATATTAATCAGGTGAAGTGGATTACCTTGTATACAATTAAAATCAACCTATTTATACCCTTATATTGGGTGAAATGCAAGAGCAAGACAAATAAGATCAAAGGTGAATCAGGATGACACTAATGATTAAAGCTTATCATTAGTGTATACTACGGAAAAATTGATGGTTATCATCAAGGTGAAAAATTCAGTCCATCAAATGGAAAGAAGACTAGGCCCATGTTTAACTACGGTTTATAATTTGTTAATAAACGGCCAAACCACTTGTATTCACTTATTTTGAGGGACCCACAATGTTACTCACTTATCCAGCACTCATCTATATATATTTATAATTTAAACCATATATAAGCAACTCCCAAAGATGCTTTTAGACAGAAAATATCCTTGAAATCAACAAAAGAAAGGGAGGACAACTTAGAAAAACAAGATTTTAGTATTGCACTAACTCAAGAATAGTGTGCATAGGTCACTTTTAATTTTTGTATTTGTTATTTTCGTTTTCAAGACACCAAAGCAGTCTATTATACAGCCCATGAGTGTTGCGATAATCTCAAAACTAAACCCCATCTTTGGATTCCATTTCTCCCTCCCTCCCTCCCCCCACCCTTAACCCCAACCCCCAATTTTACCGTTTGAGCTTCTACTTTACATACTAGAAGATACATTTCAATACAAATTATAAAAGTGGAAATTTTACTTTTTGGGCTTATTGTTTATACAGAAAATAAATATCAAACGGGGAAGTGATTTTCTATCTATATTCATGAGACTGATACATATGTAGTTGATAATTGTAGAGAAGTGAAAGAATGTCAAAGAAGAAAGCAAAACTGGCTCTGAATGACATTCTTGAATGTTCATTCCTTTCAATCTCCCTTTCTTCTCTGCCCCCGGAATGGGAGTTCCTTCAATTTTTTGTGTGGGAACTGAATCCATTTGGATAATCTGTTAATACAAATTTCCATAATATTGTCGATATATTGTTTATAGTGAACTTAGGTGCAGTTCCTGATTTTCAGTTTGCATTCTTGTTAAAATTTCCATTTTAAATAATTGATATAAATTATAATTACTTGTTTCCATTAGATTCCTTTCCAATAATCCTTTTTTTGTTAAATTTTAGAAGAATTAAAATTGTATTAGATGAAACGTAACTTCCAAAGCAAGTTTTAAAAATTAAAAATCACAGTTTTTGCTTACCCTGAATATTTCTCAAGTTTGTTTCCTCTGGTTTTGTCATGGACATAACATAGATCTAGCTTTACCTTTTTTACCATTTTACAAATAAATAAAAAGAAATTTTCAGGCCTGTGGCCGCGATGGAAAAAAAAAATTTTGCCAGCTGAGCTGTGCCTGGGCCAGCAGGCAGCCCACCTTTGGCAATCTAAATAGAGGCTTTATGGTCTGAACACTGCCCGGTTTACTTGTCTAGGCAATATGCAATTAAACATTTACTTCCCTCGTTAAAAAAATAACAGAAAGTTTTAAGCGAAAGAAATAACAAGACATTGAACAACCAAAAAACTAAAATAAATTACCTGTAATGCCAGTCCATACCCCCCATTTGCATCTTGTTCAAAGTAAAGGAGCTGAAAATCACATGTAATAGGTTCGTTAGCACTCAAAATGTCTGCATGTGCAATGTGCATGCACTGAAAATATAGGTGGCTAAATACATTTCTTTACATGAATATGATATTCTATAGAAAATGCACCTTAAATTTGCTTTGTGCAGCTGAAGTAACTCTAACTACAATTCCTGCCTCAGCTTGTTCCTCGTTAATAGTTACACCAAAGTAGTGAGCACATTGCTTTTCTACCTGTTAAAATAAAATTAAAATTATTAAGCAGGAGAAGAACAAAGCACACATGCATCCTACTAAAAGAATTCTGTACCTTTCCACTGACGGAAGTTCCGATTGGAAGAGGTCTTATTGTAGCAGTTCCATTTAAAGCTTCTTCGAGAACATTAGCAGAAACTGTGGTCTTGATGGGGACACCCAGCTTGCTAAACAAGTGGATAAATTAATAGATAATGAAAGCGATACAAGACATCCTAACTTTGATATAGCAAATACCTGAATAAAGCTGCAAACATTGTGTTGACAGTTCCAAGATTGGATAAATCAATTTCCATATCCATTCCTTCCACATCAAGGGCCTTATGATTTTGAATGACAAATATATAACCATTTAGTATATGCTTTACAAAAATTAGACAAAAGAGCAAACAAAATTTTGAAACAGTGACAAAAGAAGTACAAAAAGGATTCGCTTACCAAAAACCTTTTACCAACTGATGTGGCAGGATATGCTGTACAGTTTGCAATAAATTTTTGGGCACGTAGTTAAAAAGTTAAACCATTGATTGCCGCACCATAGTTGGTATAAGTTATTGGTAATTCATGTCATCTATGGTATTTGTTGTAGGAATTTTTTCAAGGGCAACCATGGAAATTGGAATATTATAATGAGAAAGCATGTAAAAGCCCAGGAGCTCTGTGATAGTACATAGAACAGCAGTATATAGAAAAGATATGAAGGAAGGGAAAAGAAGGGAGAGAATTTGGGAGAGGAATTCAATATAGATGTCAATTAAACTCAATCGACTCTGTAAGTCATAAACCCTCATCCTATTTATGCTTCAACCCCTAATGAAATATAGAAAGTTACCATACTATGAAAAATGAAATTACCTAAATGTAACTTAACAACTATGCCGAGAAACATTTCGACCTTCAGCCATGATTAGACTTGGCCCCTGCTTGGGGCTCCACTAAAATTAAATGTCAGGAAAAATGTTTTTTTGAATAGCGATTTTTTTGGAGAATGTACAGTTAAAATAAGGAAAAGCTTTGGGAGTACGTGCAACATTATTTTATATGAAAATGTGTGGTTGAAAATAAATTATGAAAAAATGTATTTTTGAAAAACGGAGCCCAAACATGGGCTTAAAAAGAATTATCATTGCAAATTCATAAAATATTTATTTCCAAGTAGCCATGGGTGGCAAAGTAGCTTTGTTGGAACCGAGGTTTTTTGGTAAATCACACCCACGCATTTATGATTCATGTCACAATATAGATACTCCCGAAAGGTGTTTCTATTTGCTTGTAGCTCTCATTAGACACTGGATAAAGCAAATTTTGATTTTTGAATAACTATATCGCATACTACCGCATAGCCAATAATATTTCCAACTTCTTAGCACAATGGTTGACTAGAGCATGTTTGGGTGGGCTTATAAGCTGGTCAAACTAGCTTATAAGAATCAAGCCCACCCAAACATGCATGTCTTAAAAATAAGATGGCTTATCTTGTAGCCAATTTAGGCACGAAAATTAAGCACCCGAAGCCATACTTGTTTGGTTTATTTTTAAGATTGACCAAGTGAACTACTATTTTTATCTTTCCCCTTTGCAGAAATTACAATTTTGTCCATCGCTTTGTATTAAGAAATCATTAAATAACATAAAGGGCATATCGGTAACTCATCATATAGATTTCGCTAAAATTAAATATATCCCCAAACATAAATGGCTTAATATAGTTATAAGCATATGTTATCAAAACATAAATGGATTTACATGTTTTACTTATTAAGGAGCTTATCTTTTTTCTAAGCCCACCCAAACGTGCTCTTATCTCTATCGTCGAGCGACTTAACATTGTAGATTAGTAAGTCAAAAGATTTTTCATTGTATAATCTGGTAATTAAGTGTGATGCGGAGGATAGCCTGAGCATATAACAAAATATTAGCATTATTTACATACAAAGGTTACTGATATTTTTAAAGCCACAACCTGGGGGTTGCTCATATGATTTGTCCCAGCACGACTTCCTAATGGCCTTGACATCCATCACTCATCCTATCAAATTAACTAAGTATTTACATTCAGTTTGAGATACCAACACATAACCCTCAGAATTTCAAATGATCCTTGGATGATGTATGAGGCCTAATGGAATAAGTCTCACATCACCAAACAAGATATCCAGCGGTAAAACAAAATCCTTTATGGGCCCAGTCATAATAGTTAACATAATATCAGTAAAAGGGAGTTTGAATTTTTTTACCCAGAAAGTGGGTGCAGGAAAGATCTTAATAATAGAATGTGAGGTAATTGAAAAGACAAAAAGGTACCTCAAATCCTGCATTATCATATTGCCTCCTTTTCTCTGGATCAGATAAAATGCTATATGAATATGCAACCTCCTTGAAAAGCTCTGAAGCCTCAGGGTTGCTAGAGTTCTTGTCTGGATGGTACCTGTCCACCACTTAGATTATTAATTAACCAATCCAAGAAATCTCCTTGAACAACATTGATCTATATTCTTGTTTTTTCCCTTTGTTGTCTTTATTTTTATTATACTGCAGAGATGATGAGGGATCACAATAGATGCCAAGACCTCAATATTGTTGTTATAACTTTGATGACAGGTTTCTGAAACCAAACGCGTGACTAACTATTATCCTGGAACTCATTGGCTAACGAATTAACTTCAGGGTCAAATCCCAACCAACGACCCAAAAAAGAGTATCGTTTAATCAGTACAAATTAATTCAGCAGCCAGTTGAACTATTATCAGAGACTAATTAGAAACTCAAAATTTTCTCTTGTACAAACTTCATATATCAAATATCTAAGAGTAATTACTGCAGATGTTTCTGCAGAATAATGTGATCAACAACGTACCAATTCAACACAAAATTACTGTACGGTTTAGGGTTATAAAGTTTCTCATAGTCTTGAGAATCCATACATATGTTATCGCTTACTGACAACTACTACCTCTCATTAACAGGTTTTAGACAGCCCCATTGGAAGAAGGAAATGGAGCCCCTAACAAAGCATCTTTTAGTTGAAACTTCAGACAGCTCTGGTAAAAAGAGGGGAAAAATAGCCTAAAGCCAAAAACACCTATTCCGCTCAAAAATCAATATGAGCCCATGTTTGACTCTCCTTTTTTCAAAACTCTTCATTTCTCGTACTCATTTTCAACCGCATTCACACAATAAAATATTTTACAAGTAAATCCAAAAATTTTCCATACTTTTTAACCACACATTCTCGAAAAAAAAAAAAAACTATTCAAAACATCATTTTTCCCCAATTTCTCTTTATAATGGCCATCAAACAGGGGCTAAAAGTAAAAATATCTATTTTCTCAGCAAATCATTTTTTGAACAATTAAATTTGTAAAGGAACATATATACTAGCACTTCCATACATTTTGATAGTTTAATAATAGCTTTCATAGCTCTTGTGATTTTAGTGGTTTTTGGCCAGTCATATTCTTTTAAGCCTCCATTAAAACTTCTCCAGCAAGAGAAAACTTCATCTTGAGTTAATTATAATTATCAGGCTATTCTGTTTAAACCAAATGAACCCCGTTTTAGGAATCACGCTCATTGAAGTAAATATTCACCTGAAAATTATCTGTTTCAATTTCCACTTTGCACAAGTGACTCCAGGCTTTTTCTGTCAGTTAATGGTCCTTCAACAATGTTTTTCCATTCAATAAAATTTAAATACCCAAATTTTTATTTTTCAAATTTCCAAATTGCTCCTCTTTTTATTTGTTCTTATGTGCACTGTGCAATTTTGAACACCATCCCCTTCACATGAGTAACTGTATTCCATGAATATTGATCTTAACCTGAGTCATCTCCAGATCAACAAAAAGCACCCCAAAAAACAACTAGCAATAACTTCGGAAGATGTATAGTAAAAAATAATCAATCACCAATAATTGCTGCACTTTAAGATAATTCAACAAAAACAAATTTAAGTTTCTAACTAAATCCAAATTGTCCTAGTTAGCATCAATGCACCACAAACACAAAATGCATAACTTGGATATAAAAGGACGAATAAAAAATCCATATATACCAACCTTCAACCACATGTAACACAGATTTTCTATCTACACCGCACCGAATAAACCTGAAATACTAAATAATTAATGTAATGTAGTAAATAAAATAACCAATTTGAAACATACTTGAGAGCAAGCTTTCTGTAAGCAGTCTTGATTTCCTGATCAGAAGAATCCCTTGACACAGACAACACCTCATATGGGTCCCTCCGTGTGGCCGGCGGCAGCAGGCCCTCCTTTTTCGAGTCCCCCATTTTATCCCTCAATAAACTTTACCTCTTCACCCTTTTTGATTTCTTTCTCCCTAGAATTCACCTCTTCTCCTATATTTTCTATTCTTTACTTTTTCTAGTTTCACCAATATCATCCTATAAATTTAGCTTGTGTCTTTTCGCTAAATCTCAATAATATCATTCAGACAAAATCTTTGCAATTTTTATCCCGTACAGAAAGTACTCTCGTCTGTAAATCTGCAAGCACAAACAATTCAAGCAAGAAAAAAAAAAATCATTAATGAATTGTGAAAGTTCTCCCAATGAACAAGTAAGAAATTCTAGCCCCAAATTTCAAAGCATTGGATCGTTTAAAATTCTTATTGGAACTAGTGCAAAATCATTCAATAATCAATGCATCCCAGCGTAACAATTAAACAAAGTCTTTTATGACGTGTATATCATACCAAGATTTCAAATTGTCAATATATCTATCATTACACACAAACAAAACACACTCACAAGCTGACAAACACATACATATATGTTGATATTACATGTAAATAAATAATAAAAAAATTAGGGTTTTGGGAATATTACATGGATTGTGTGAACGGAGGAAGAAAATGAACTCAGAACAGTGTATCCGCTGTGAAAAACAAAAATGGCGTTAATTGAACCCAAAACTTGAGTATGGATAATTATTGCAAATCAAACTCTCGAAGTGAGGAATTGCGTGTCCGGGCGGGCGGGCGCTTTTATACCCTTGTTTATCAGCATTTACAAGCTATCCTCTAATTTTAAAGAGCATTTTTCAAAAAATTTAAAAAGTATATTTAATCCATGGTTTCTACATGGATGAGGTGTTAAAAAAACGAAGATTTTTTTTATTTGATTGAAATTTTTTTTTTTACACAATTATATCTCAACACATCATGTGTATGTAAATATATTATGTATATGCACAACTGTAAATTAAGAGAGTAAAATTTTTTATATACTTAATTTTAGGCTTAATGACATAAAATCTCCCTACATACTTGTTGATGTACGATATACAAGGCCTATTGAAAATCATAGAAAAATTCCATATTTGAAACCTTTTGTTTGAAATTCCTCCTGCCGTCAAAATCCGTTAGTTTAAACGTTAAAATGGGTAAAAAAAAGGCCAAAATTAAAAAGGAAGAATTGCAATTACAATACCCAAAAATTTTATTTTTTTTTGTAAATTATACCCAAAATTTTTATACGTGCCAACCAAAATTCCAAAACTTTAAAACTTTATTTTCTTCCCCACCTCGTTTCATCTTTTTCCCACCTCTGCCAACTGTACACTACCCCCACACGCTCACCATCTTCAACGACCAATGAAAATAAACATTCTAGTGACCACACATTCCTTCAATCTGAAAACCCAAGAATAGCTAATGAAGAGAGGGGTAAATCAATTTTCCAAAACTTTTTCGAAAAATTATTTCAAAATATGAACAAGTTTGGAATAAATATATTAATTAAAAAAAGTGGGCAAATATGAAAGTGAGAAATAAAAGGAGAAAGGGTGTGCAAACGATGTAATTATGGAGGTTACATCCGTTATCGAACTCTTCATCACGAGTAAGGTTTTTTCACTAAATTTAATTGACTTATGGTGCAATCAAAATCCTTACAACTCTTTTGATGACTTGCAAATAAGGAACGACATTCCTTATATAATACTGAGCTTTTCAGGAACCCACAAATTTAAAGAGAAATGAGTTTACAATTTGAAATTTTTCTCTTAATAAATGATATAAACAAATTAACTACTAAAAGAGAAGTATGTTGACACATTAATGACTATCAATAAATGAAGCTTAAGTTTTATGTGAGAAAGAACTTTGATGAGAAAGACGTTCTTCAAAACTTGGTTCAATCAAAAGTTTTTCAAAGTAAATTATTTGATGAAGATAAATAAGATGTAAGATAATTATATTTTTGCTCAACAATATCTCACTTAAATACTCTTGAAAGTATGTAATGAATACAAAGTGAGATCATATTTATAGTGTTCAAGATGCCAAAAAAAATATGAGTAACCGAACAAGCAATCATACATCTGCATTCTGAACCGGACAACCAAGGCAGTCGTTGTGCTTCAGAATTCAAAACGCTTAAAAAAAGTGGCTATTTGAAGAACCGAACGTCCTCATCGATAGAATTTTCTCCGATTTTTCCTTCTTGAATGTTTTGAAAATGTAGACTTTTGAATGACCTTTTTTACTTTATTATAAAATGTATTCAAAATTTGAATATAAAATTGAAATCTTTACATTTTGAAGAATAATTTTTTTGAAGGTGTTTTATAAAATAATTTTTCGTACATAAAAAATTATTTGTTGAGCTTTTAATAATTTATTTCTAAATATTGAAACATTGTACCTTACACATAAATATAAACATCTAGTATAATATTTTTGATATTTGACTATTGAAATTCTTTTTGACTTTCATCTCAATTTTTATTGAATGTTCGATGCTAGTCTTTGGATAGTGACATTTTTGTCTTCAATCGATCAACTTAGCAACAATAGCTTTGAAGACTTAAAATCAATTGTTAGCAATTGTTAGAAATAAAATTAATTTGTTTGTTATGATCAAAATTATTAATGAAGAAGTCAACCATAGATCAACACAACCTAGCTCCTTCGTTAATCTAGTCTCTCTTAAAATAGACAGTAGTCAATTAAACACAAATGGATTCATATGTCACAAATTCTACTTCAGAAAACAGAGCTGCGAGATAAAATAGAGATGAGCATTCCCGTAATCGAAAAACTGAAACAACGATAAAGAGCTAGGCATTCTAGTCTATTACTAAATGGATTGAGAAATCCAGAACTGCACCAATATGAAAAGGGCTTTCAGCCTTGATTTGGTTGCTCAAGAAAATCCCATTTAGAGCAGTAAAAAACACTCTAAAAACTCAAATACTCTAATAGCCCAAGAAAACAAGCACTACAACAAAAGTAGTCTTTTACGACATTCATTTACGGCTTTCATTTCAGGCATGCCATAAAAAGTCTGTTTTTACGACATGCCTTAAATGTGTGCCGTGAAAATTCAATTAATTAAAGTATTTATGGCATACATTTAGAGCACGCTGTAAATGGTATATTTCTATGACATAATTCTCAAGCATGCCGTAAATGATTTATTTGTAATTTTTTATAGTTTTTAGTTTGTTCTTGAGCATTTTTGAGCGTTTTGATGTGTGTGTTTGTGTTGTTCTGTAGTTGGACAAATTGGATGAAAACAGTGTGGTTTGGAGCTTGAAATGGAGCTATGACATGGAGATGAGAGAAGAGAAGAATGAAGTGGAGAGAAGACCAAAAGATTAGCAAAATAAATTGAGGTGAAGAACAACAAAAGAAAAAAAATGCGGAATGTTGGGCGCTTAGGCGCCCAAAAATAAAAAAATTAGCAGAACTTGGCGCCCGCAGCAAAGAAGGCCAACCTTGGGCGCCTAGGAGCTGCCTTCCGGGAAAAGGAAAAAAAATGCAATTTTTAAAAGATTTTCGGCCCAGCCCACATCCCATTCGTCTTGCAACCTTGGGAAAACATAAATACATAGTTTTGAAGACCTAAAAAGGGGGGGTTGACGGCTAGAGGAAGGCAAGAAGATTGAAGACAAAATTGGGAAGAAATCAATTGAAAACAAAGGAGATTGACAATGGGAAGGAGAATTCAAACTGCAAAAGAGTTTTTCTTCATTTTCTCTTTATGTTTTTCATTATAAATTGTGTTGATTTCATAAATTTCATTATGAACTAAACGCTTTATCTAGGGTTTGATGTAACCAGCTTAAGACTATGGGTTCATGATTTTATAATTATTTCTATTTGATTTTCTCGCATATATTTAATTGTGTCATGATTTTAATGCTTTCAATTACCTGATCAACAATTGAATGAATACATACTAGTCAATTTCGGCACTCGAGAGAGGGGAATTTAGGCGCGATCATAGGATTGACACAACGTATGTTTTATGAATCTCGAGAGAAAGTGTAAAATCTATGAAACTTAGTTCACAAAAGAATTGGGACTTGATAAATTCTAGATTTTAATTCGAAATAAAGATATTGAGATTAAATTCTAGTGTTAATTTCTAGTCGGCACTTAAGAGAGGAGAGAGAAATAATTTAGGATTCTTGTTTTTGAATATGGGAAAATCAATTAGTATAATTGGATATTATTGAATCATAATTGAAGGTTAGGTGAAATAATTCCCTACGCTTTCTCAACTTAATTATTTGCATTACTCGTATTTGTTAACCAATCTCATTAGATTAATTTAAAATTATTCATTCAAATATTCATTGTCTAAATAAAATAAAAAGTTATATAAATATAGTACTTAATGGAATTAAATTACAATCCATGTAGGTTCGACACTCTAACTCTTTTAATATATTACAAAACTTGACACGTACACTTGCGGTATAAATCACGCTGCATAAAGCACGTGACAAGTTTTTGACGCTGTTGTCGGGGATTATTTTATTTGATTTTTACTAATATTATTACCAATTAGCTTTTATTTTCATTTAGATTTTTAATTTTGTTTTAATTTATTTTATTTCTATCTTTGATAATTTCTTGGTTTGTTAATTTCAGCTGTGTATGCGATGAGGGAGGAATTTGAAATTATTACATGTTGATCTTGAACGAGAACGCACATTTCGCCATCTAAGGGGTATACAGAGAGACGAACATGAAGCAATGGCCGAACATGATGCAAGAGCAGCTAATGAAAACAATCAACAACGGGATATTTGGTACTATGTCAGACTAGTTGTTAATAACAACTATTCCTGTATTGCATGCCCAACTATTGCTGTAAATAATTTTGAGCTGAAGCCGGGATTCATATACGTGGTACAATAGAACCAGTTTGGGGGAACTCCGACAGAAGACCCAAATGCTCATCTTGGTTCCTTTCTCGAAATTTGTGATATGTCATGATGAATGGTGTTACTGACGACGCCATCAGACTCCGCTTAT